GCGACAAGTGAGGCCACTAATGGATTCTACAAATTTAAGAAAAAACTATAGTAAAAATAATATAACCATATATTTCTTGTTTTACCTGTAGTCTTGAACAAATAGCCATTGCTATTGTATAGTTATTCGTTTCGAGAGCCCATAAAAATAGATCTCGTAGAAAGTCTAAGCAATTGTTAAGATCATATTATAGTGAGTCTAGTGAAAGTATATAGTTTTTTCAGTACATATGATCGAAACAATTATAAAATATAAGTTCTAATATTCTACCATAGTTACGAGATCAAGAGACTGTGATTTGAAAGAATAGTTACTTTTTCGTTTTAATAAGTTTTCACTGGGCATTCGACAAAAAGACCGATTGCTGTCTAAAAGCAAAATAAACTTAATATTATTTTTCTCATTAGAAATTTACGAATCAAATAGCTGAAGCTTATTTGTATGCATCGAACTCTCAGAAATCGTAAATATTTCTATTGTAGAGCTCGAAAGTTTTTCTGAGACCACACCACCTATTAAAAATCTGAAAATCTGAATTCTTCAGGGCGAAGAATCTTGAAATATAATCTTGTAAGGTCATATTACAAGATATTACAGGACCTCTGTTTCTATCCTACAGATGTCCTCTAGATCCTCTTTAAAAAAAATATTTTCAAGCATACGAAGAACTCTGACGTCCTTAGGATCGCGTCTAACCATGTTTCTTACAACCATGCACTTTATTTGTGTTTAGCTGATGTGTGGGGTTGAAGAAAGAAAAAAATTCTAAGTTTTGTCATAACTATGTTATATAAATATATTGTATATCGTAGCAAAATTTATGTGGTAAGAATGAATCATCACTTCTTTTTAGATCTTATAACAAGAAATCGTATGAACTTACGATAAAAAGTAAATAGCATTTCAACACTCTCACTGACAAGATTATACAAGATCTTGCAAGATTATATAGTTTCTTGTTACAAGCTCTTAGCATTTCTTCTAAGGTGACCTTACGGCAAGAAGTTACAAGATTCCGCAAGATCATGCATGATCTTGAGATACGATCTTACAAGGTCTTGCCAAAAGATCTTGTAATAAGATTGCATAAGAAATCATCAGATTTTATAAGATCTTGTAAGACGCCTTCCACTTGGATCTCGAAATTGATCACCAGTTAAAATCATATTTCAAATAATACACCCTTCGGAAGAGCGATTCATATGGCCGGAAGGACCCAAGGGTCATTATCTTCATCGTTATCTAAACTCTTCGTGTTTGGTTTTAGAGCAATTTGTCATTTCAGGTGATCAGTGTCTGATGTTTTTCGTTCAGCTATCGAAGTGATATGTGTGGATCCCAATCGTGAATGAAAAACGATTTGACCATGTAACTTTGCTACCGCAATGTAATTCTGTCATGTCTTTTTGAATTTTGTGTCTTCTCTAATTCTCGAATGAAGACATGTTTCAGAGCTCTGCAAGGTCTCATATCAACGAGAAAAGTGTGTTGAGTATTCTGAGACTTTCGCAAACTGAAAACTGTTCTTTTGTTTAGAAATATACCAGAAATACAAACTGCTGCTTTTGAAAACTTATCTGAAAAAGTAGCAATTCGTATTTTTGCTATAGTTCCTAAACAAAAGAACGTGTAGAGAGTGAGAAACTCTCAGACTATTGAACACATTTTTCTCTTTGATATGAGACCTTGTAGCACTCTAGACATGTCTTCATTCGAGAATTATAGATGAAACAAAATTGCAAAAAAAACGGGACGCAATTACATTGCGGTAGCAAAGTTACATGGCCAAGCTCGAAATTTATTTAACCGATAAACTGACGAGAAAAAATCGTCTTAGAAAATTATCTGACTTATTAGCTGGTCATGCAAACAATATCTCAGATATACGTGAATCACAAGTGGATGCCGTTAAGTTGACTTCATCATCTGTGGAAGATTGATCAAGTATGCTGAGATGTTCGACGAATTTTAAAGCCGATAAGGAGTCCTATAGTAAATTACACACAATACAGTACTGGAAAAAGTTTTCTGATTAAATAGAGTTAGTTAGTTCCAAAAACCACGTATGGTGAGAGCACAATATTTAGCTTCGAACTAGGTGAGACTTTGCATAAATATTCCTCTATGTAGACTATATCTATGGAATTAGCGTAAACGTTCTTATCAAAGAAAGAATAAAATGTCGCTGTGACCTGCAAAAACTGTTCACTGAGTGGAAGGGCTCAGTAATTTTTTCCAGTACTATAGATAGAAAAAGCTTACCGTGAATAATACTCATACTGCTGGAATCCTAAAACAAAATAATATATCTAAAAAACGTCCTACGTTTAGATTGAACAATAGCTGTTTGATTAAATTTTTTCTAGTAGTATTAAAAATTCGGGATTATTCGAACTGTTCTGTATCAATTTTTCAAGAAATGGCATTAACTCCTTGAAATTCTATTTTCATAACAGACAACATCTAAGTGCAGTTGGGAAGAACACTCACAATTATTAAGCCATGGAGTACGTTTGATGGTGGACTTCGAATTTTGTTAAATCTCTCTTGCTCCTAAAAAATAGAAGACATATTAGAGTAATGATTAACATTAGAAAGAACACATTTCAGAGAATCATCATTGATTGCTCAAATTTTTGCTCAATGTAAAAACACTACTTTTATTTGAAAATATAAAAAAACTTTGACATAAACTAGTTAGTGCTGATTTATATACGAAAGGCTGTAGGAAAAGTTCATTAGTACATATGATCTTACTGTTTCTGTCAATTTTTGCATATAATATGTGATATCACTAAATTCTTCTAATCGTTTGAATGATGCGCCACACTGTATTAAGCGTTCGACAAACTCAACCGAATCCATCAATAATGCATATTCCAAACACTCATCCAGTTCTTCGTGCTCAAAAATAGTAGTACTATAAATAGTTAATATTTATCTCATTCATATATGACATAGGTACCTTCCAGTTTCCGATTGTTTTTGTTGTTAATATGTGTGCGTTAGCAAGATCAAATCGTTTCCATTGGATTGCTAGTTTCAATTCAATTAAACGATTGACATCATTCAAGTCTTTGCATTTAGTACCTTCGTATTAGTATTTAATTTTCGTTTAGAGTAAAAAAAATGATACATCTATTATCGCTTACCTTTGGCAATCGCTTGTAAAAGAACTTGATTTAGATGTTGATCACCCGGCTGATACATAAATATTCCAAAATTTCCGTTTTCTGGTTGTAAAAGTTTATTCAGCGCGTTTTGATCGATTGTTTTAAATGACTCTCGTTTTTCTTGAACTCGTACTAACGAATGACGTTCAAGTCTCGTACTAACGAACGACGAAACAACAACCGATTCTTATAGTTAAGTTTCTACATAACTTACTTACTGTAGGGGAGTATTTGGAGTTGTTGGATTGTATCTCTCTTCTGTTTCGTTTCGTGCTGATGTATCATGTATACTTCCATAAAGTGAACCAATCACACTAGCAACACCTTCAGTTCCCTGAAAACTATCCGAAATAAATTTATTCGCATTCATCAAAACGATTCTATCGACAGGTAGTGTTTATACCGTTAATATCCCGTTTAACCGCTTTACAGTAAGAAAACGCTGAGTTTACAGTTTTCTTTCTAAACTATTTTTTCGCAGTCCCTGCTCGGTTTTATGAATATTTCCTAAAAATACTGATTATATTTGACTGACTATCTCAAAAATATTGTTTCTATCATTTTTTAGGTCAATGGTAGGATCTATAGTACCAGTCTTCAGACCCCATGGTACTATCTTCAGAACTACGAGCAGCTTCCTCTAATCAAGTTTCAATGACTTGTACAGGGCGGCTCAAAAACAGCTTCTCTCTGATGATAGATGTTTGTACTTTCAAGGTGAAAATAATTCATTATTCATTCACAAAAGAGCTCTTGAATCTAAATTAGATTTTTTTTCATGTTTGATTTTATTTATAATTTGTATGTTAACCAGTACCAGTCAACGATGGGTAAGCGATTAATACTTGCCACCTGTATTGTTTCAGCCTACATCCCTCCTTATATTCCTCTTTAATTTCTCAAATATACGAAAAAAAGTACGGAGCCGAGTCGGATCAGACGGGGGCAAAAAATATGCAGCAGGCGCGGATGGACGAAAATTTAGTTCGGACCTTTAGAAGTGAGCCGGACCGACAGAAACGCGGCCCATATGGAACCCTGCTCTGTAAATAAAAGAAAGAAAAAACTTTCCAAGTTTTGTCGAAGAGAACATCACACGCATAACAGTAGTGACAGAAAAACAAAAAGGTGAATGACTTGTAACCAAAACGGTCGAGGAAGCGGTCTGTTAACGGTACAATATCTCGACTTTCTTAGCCATTGTTATATGACCTGCGAGTATTGATAAAGTGTAGTTCGTATCTACATACATTTATCACAATCACTGGTATGCCCTCGTCAACCACTTTGCGCACTGTTTCGATTGACGTATTATCACCTAAAAATATACCTTCGTTTAAACTTGCTTCTTCTAATCAATCAAAAATATCTTTCTAAGTTAAGATTTCCGAGACTATGTAGACCATTTCACTGGTATCTGTGACAAATTTAGGAAAACATAGCTCAACCATCGTATCGGTCTGCTTAAGTGAAGAAGGGTTGAGGGAGGAGGAACCCTCTTCTCCTTTTTTTCCCCAGCTTCTGGAGAACACTTCGAAGAGGACGTTCCAAAGATTTGTTCGCTTTGTGGGCCTATAGTTTTTAATTAAAAAGATTTTAATGTTTTTTCGAGGTTTCTTTTGCTATATTTTTAAAATTTCATTAGAAACTTCAGTTATAGATATGAAGAGTTCATTCTAGCGTAGTTCGATAGAGAACATTAAAGTTTAGAAGGAAAAAAACTCAAAATAATTATCGAATAAAGTTTTGACGTAGAAAGTTTAACTTCCCGGCAGGATTTCAGGGCTAACAGCATTTTGATGAAAGCCTCACGGCTAGTTTCGCTGGAATCAAGCATTTTGGACAAAAACTCTGAGTACAAAAGTTGCTCAAAGTCGACATCCTGAATCCCCCATGAGAGCTTTTTTCACATTTTCATTTTGTGAATTTTTAAATTAAATTTTAGGTTTTTTTCAATTTTGAACCCTAGTAAACTGTTTTCGAAGAAAGCTCTCGTGAGGGACTCAGGAATTCGATTCTAAACAACTTTTGTACTCAGAGTTTTGATTCAAAATGTTTGATTCGAGTGAAATTAGCCGTAAGATGTGGGGAAAAAATCTTCGCTGTGCCGGAAACCAGTGATATGTTCAAGTTTTAGATTTTTCCACAAACTCTCCCTGTTTGTAGAGGACATTTCGAAGTATGTAATCTGAAGTTTTTTCTGTCTATTGACCTTATTTGATAGAGAAAAAAATTGGTTACTGAAACAAATGTTGTTAGATTTTTATGTGCGGGACGGGACTATTATTAATAAATTTCCTTCCCTTCTTTGTTCATCATAAAAACTTGGTTTTTGCGTAGATCGATAGAAAAATGTATGGAAAAAATATCTAAAAGGTTTGTTCTTTCCATCCTGTTATTGACTAATTGGTGCTAATTAACGCGAATGTAGTCTACTCTACTAGCATAAAGTCAGGGTATATATTTTTTTGATCTCCAAAAATGTTCGTTTTGATCATAAAATTTCTTTCTTTCGAAATGATCACCAAAAAATAACACTTTTGATCACCAAATCAATTAAAGAAAATTTAAACTAAAGAAAATATATACAAGAAGAATAATTAGTAGACAGATAACAAAACGAATATTCGAAAGCAAGAATGGAAAGTATTACACACAGTTAGATCGTCCGATGAAGCGAAAGAGCACGCAAAAATACAGTTTAATGAGTATAGAAAGTATCCGTTTTGTCATAGTATGCATAAGTCGCATTCGCGGCGAAGTCAAATTCATGTGTGTATGGAATTCTTGCATTTGCTGTGACAGGAATTTTCTAAAGTTTATAATTTCTTCGCTTCGTGACTGAATGCCTGCACAAAAAATTCAGCTTTCTTTTCTTATTGTTTTGCACACTTCATAAATACCCTTGGCTTGTTGTATAAATACTCAGAGTGGACCACCTTGCCTCACAGCCCACGCACACTTCCAAGAAATTTTCACAACAATAAGAAAAATTTATATATCTATATGATGGATTCGCACATTATGTTTTTCACTTCGCTGCGAAATGGCTTTATAAACTTATTTTAACTTTGCCACAAATGCGCCCTATGCATACTATGACAAAACGGATACTTTCTATACTCACTGCATTTGAACGAATGTTTTGTATGGTTTGTTTAAAAGTCTGATCGACAATATTGGCAAACATTAAACTTCAATTTTGCGTGCTCTTTCGCTTCATCGGACGATCTAACTATGTGTAATACTTTCCATTCTTACTTTTGAATATTCTTTTTGTTGTCTGTCTACTAATTAATTTGGTATTAAATTGGTGTATATTCTTCTTGTAGTAAGGAGACACCTCAATATCCTGATAAGGATACAGAAAAAATTAATATTTCGTTCGGGATATAAAACACAAAATTTCGTCATAAAAACGATTAAGGGAAAAATGATGATATTATGGGGAAAAATTGATGTCACCATTAAAAAGAGTTCGAAAAACTACATCGGATTCTGTTGTGTTTGATTAAAAGTGCCTCAAGCATCCAGAAAATAGTTTTTCGAATAAAAATTTTTAACAAATTTTAGTCGAATTTATACCCCGATCGGGAAATAGACGGTTAATCAAAGAAGAAAAGAAGGTTACAAATGTATAGTAGATGTGAGTGATTTGTATTAATAACTTTGTTTTCTATCTTCTATGGCTATACTATACTCACATGTGAAAGATGTGGAAATGTGTTAGTTAAAAATATATATGGGTCTCTTCGATATAAAAATACTTTTACTATAAAGATAGATATTCCGATCGGGATATGCCTGTACACTATCTTGTATATATTTTCTTTAGTTTAAATTTTCTTTAATTGATTTGGTGATCAAAAGTATTATTTTCTGCTGATCATTTCGATAGAAAGAAATTTACTGATCAAAACACATTTTTCTCACAAACTCATCATTTTTTCTAGTAATTCATTTTTTTCTCAGTCAAATAAGACGAAAACCCTTCAGACCATATACTTCAAAATGTCGTCTACAAACTGGGAAAAATCTTACAAACAATCGAAATGGAGGGACTCTTCCTCCGTAAGATCCTCTAGGTTATTATCCTTTGGCTTCTCATTCATAGTTTTTACCTCCGACTAATATATAAACAAGTGGTATAGTAAGATTTTTACAAACTAAAGAAAAAGAAATTTATCAGTAATTTTATTATCTGAATTATTAGACGAGTAACTAACTTGCAGATAAATCATAAGCGTCATCAAATATTTGTTCGACAAGTTGTACCAAATAATTTGATGAAATATTCTGTAATAATTCTTTTACTTTGCTTTTAAAAATATTTATTTTCCATTGTACTGTTCTTAAAACTCCAATATTGCTTTGCATTAATGCATATTCACTGCTGATCACGTCATATAGATTGTTTAAGATAATTAATAGATCTTGTGCGATCATATCGATTTGATTTTGGGCTTGATTATCGATATTGTCTTCCATAAATTCATTCAATTTAGTTGTTTGTTTAATAATTTCTATAAAAACATTTTCCTCATTCGATAAATTAACTAATCGACAACATTCTTGTTCAATTTCAAAACGATCATAAATTTTATTGTCTAATTTCAGATAATAATTACCATACTTTTTAGTTATTTTCTAAATTGGAAAATATTGTCAAAAGATACGAAAAATAATAATATTATCGAATACTTCTTTCAAAAATGTTGTTAGATGTTCATTGATTCCTATAAATAAATATTGTATGAAATTATCTTTGCATCTAGATTCAATCTTCCAATAAGATGTCATATCATCTTAGAAGATCGTAAGAGATCATGTTATGACTTCAGATTTCGTGCTAAGAATCCTATAATATTTCATAAGATTTTTCTTGTGATATAGAATCTTGTATGTTTCTATATTTCTTACAAAATCTAGGAATCAGATCTTACATCATTTTGTAAGAAATTACATAATTTCATAAAATAATACAGGATTCTTGTCTAATCTTACCAACAAAATTCGTTAAAAAAAAAACATTTTTCCTCATAATATTCTCTAACATTGATAAGAGTAGAGACATAAGTCGATCGGTTGAACAACCATGCCGAGTTGAAATTTTGAAGTCGCCTAAGACACCAAGAATTTTGGACGATGCCAGTAACTGTCGTCGAGGCAATTTTTTTTCTAGCCTTTTTTCATTAAGGAATCTTGGTAAAATACACGTGATTCATGACAAGTATGCTGTTTGGAAAATGTATTAGTATTTGTTGAATATGGTATCTTTTTTCTCATGTCTATACAATTCGCTTTCTTTGTTTTTTTCCCGATCTAAGGTGTTTTTGTTGGATTCTGTGAAATAAAAATGCTTAGTGAAACTTCTTGTATCCAATAACTTGATAAAAACACCAAGAAATCAAGATCTTGGGAACAGAAATTTCAACATTTTGAGTGAATCCATTCAAGGTGTTGCAAGAGCTTGAGTGACAAATTTTCTTTTATTTATGACAGTCATAGCCATCGGACATATGACCATATAGAATCATAGATTCTTCCTTAAACAACTGTGTTCGAGAAAGGAAAAAAGTCGAAGTTATTCTAAATGTGAAAATATTCGCACTTATACCTACCTACTAGGCATGCAACGGTTATTTTATCGGGGCTCTCGAGAATAGTAGTTTTAAAAATCGGAGAAACTTTTCAAAAATCTTTCAAGCCGGCAGTTTGGTGCAGAAATGTTTGCTCTATCAAATAACACGTTGCAGGCTTTCTCATGATGGTTCGTAGATGAGATATGAGTTATTTTTTAAGGTTTACCAACCGCCGGTTAATAACCGATCCCTTTTTCAACAGAAAGCTTTGTATCTCATCTATGAACCATCGGGAGAAAGCCTGCAACGTCTTATTCGATAGAGCAAACATTTCTGCACCAAACTGCCGACTCGAAAGACTTTTGAAAAGTTTCTCCGATTTTTAAAACTACTACTCTCGAGAGCCCCGATAAAATAACCGTTGCATGCCTACTACCTACACAAGCGTGTAAAACAAAACAATGATTCAAGAATTTCCAAGATCTTGGTGCAAGAAGTCAAGAAATTACAAGATGTTCAAGATCTTAACTCCTTGAAATTTCCTGAATTCTTATATTTTCTTACCAAGATCTTGAATCAAGATCTTACTGAAAAAATTCAGGAAGTCAAAACCTTAGTTACAAGATGTTTCACTAGGGGTGATAGTTGTTAATACTCACACACGGTTACTACCGTATGTTGATACTAAACAGGGTTTTTTATGACTTCTGTGATTTTTTATCGTTTTAAGAAAAGTCCACGGTCTCGGGAGCTAGAGAAATTTCGAGAGGTTCCTAGCCACAGTTTTCTCCATCGACTTACATCTCACGGTAAGAGCATGACTCTTAAGAACCGTGTCTGGCCACGTTTCTTATAGCTATGAACTTTAGTTGATCTAGTTAATGTGTGAAGTTCAAGAAGAAAATTTTAAATTTTATTCATCAGAATAAGGTTGTACATATATACTATCTATAGTAGCAAAATTTATAATGTACGGATGAATTATTACTTCTGACACGATCTTTCAATATTTCATATGTTCTTGAACGATCTTGTGAGAAGAAACTTAAACACGACACATTAATGACTGACACAGAATCACACAAGATTGTACGACTTCTTAATGTATGACTCTGCAATATCCTATGCAAAGATTCTTCTATATTAAAAACATAAGATCTTGTAAGTTTGTCGTCTCGATAGTCGAGAATCTCCTTTCAATTACAAAAACTAATTTTACGAAACAATTAAATTAACAAACCGTTTTTCGGATTTGAATTTTCTATTGTGATCCATGTTGGTGCTTTAGAATCATTGTCACAATATTGTTCAATTGCTTCATTAATATCGATCATAATTTGAGTATTTGCACTTTCAGTGATAATCCAAGCTATAAAAGTAAATCAGAACAATGTTCCACTATTTACAAGTATTTTTGACTGTACTATTTTTCGATCACCTATTTTATCCGCTGTCACATCTATAAGCTGCCGTTTAAATGTTTCTTGTATATGAGTTGACGTTCTATTACTTGTTCCAATAATAGACAAAATGACAGACGGTGTTTTCAAGTTCCACTCATCTTTCATTTGACGCACAATTTCAGTAACTGTTTTCGTTGGCTATAAATGCGAATAAGTGATCTTATATCAGTATGAAATACCCAACCAGTTGTTCGAGGGTACTTCGAGTGCTCGGAAATATGCTTTCGATGGGCCTTCGCCGAGGGCTCCACCCCTCGGAAAATGGCACTTCGGACCCTCGATATAAGCGTTCGAGGGGTATTTCCGAGCCCTCGTCGATTTC